ACCTTCCTCAGGCAAAAACCAGAGGCTGCAAGTCATGGCAAGAGTGGTAGCTGCGGGCTGGATGCGATGCCGGAGGGGCTGCTGTGCTAAGCCATGCCTGCTTGCTTTTTTTCCCAAGGTGCACCCTACAGTCCAGGGAAGGATGGAGGCAGGAGCAGCAGGGGAAATCCCTGCAATGGCAAAGGGTGGGAGGGGGGCAGACATCAAATTTCTTACACTTAGATGAGTCAAATGGTTGGAAACCAGAGACCTCCAGGAAGAGCTTGAAAAGATGGCACCACATATCCCAGTGGGGATAGAGCAAGGAGAAACCCTGTGGGTGCTTTCTTGGTGGCAAGAGGTCCCAGCTGGATGGTGGAACAGGAAGACTGGTCCCACGTGGCGAGGCTGGAGGGGGATGCCAGAGCTGCTTGTCCCCTGTGGGTGGAGGAGAGCTGGCAGCTGCAGCCAACAGGGCAGCGCCCAACCTCTTGCCTGCCTGCATCAACTTCCTAGGCCCTCATAATCCAAACAGCCGCAATAAAAATGCACTAAAATTGACTGTTTTTTTCTCCATGGCCTGCAGGTTCTGTGAGGCAATGTTCCTGCACATATATGTGTGTGTTTATCCACTCATACACTCTTGTTCTCTGTTGTGGAGAGTGCCACAAGCTTCTGGGACTCACAGCTGTCCCCAGCTGCTGTAGCTGCTGACAGAAGAGGACAGGAGACAGCCTGCTTGCTCTCCTGCTCAGGGGAAGGCTGAGCTCCCAGTACCCTTCTTGGTACACACTACTCATCCCTCCGCTGCTGAAGGCACCCTGGCTCCCTCCCTTCTATGAGCAGAGGAGTCATTGAGCAATACTGAAAACCAAGAATTTTTGCAGCAAGAGTCCTCAGAAACTTCCACTTCAAGTTGTCAAGAGGGTAGAAAATGCACCAGAGATTTCAGTGGTTTCCGGAGACGACAGTGACCTCTGGGCCACCCGCGCAGCTGCAACTCCTCCACACCAGTCCCACGCAGCTGGCAGCAAGAGGGTGTTTGTCCTGGCTGGCTCTGCACACGCAGCTTCCACAGCCTCTGGACAAAGAGGAGCTGCATCCCCCGAGGTTGCTTTCTTGCCCCATCGTGAGGCAATAGCACTTCCCCATGGGGTCCGTAGCCGCAGGCACAGGGACTGCACGGCTCCTTTCCTCGCAGGCGGCTCTAACCGCAGAGCCGTGCCACACCGCAGCCAGCAGGTAACGAACACCCTGGGTCTGGCTCACCCAGCAGCTGTGACGGAGACGGAGCGCTGTGCTGCATGCAAGCTCCGGCACGCCCGCTGGTATTTATATAACATCGTTTTGCTTTAATCTGGCTTTTTAAGTAAATTGTCAAAGCCCTTTCTGTTCACTAGGAGCCTTTTTTTCTTTTTATTTTTTGACTGCAAGTTTCGTCTTTCAAAGCTCAGCTAGCTTTGAGTGATGCTGAAAAAGCCCATTTGCAGTGGCTTTTTGTTCCATGCCTGTATTGTTCAGTCAAAAGTGGTTGTTTTCTTTTCATCCTGGCATAGTTCAGGAGTGACTGCACCGTCTGAGCTCAAACTTTCTAAAAATACTCACCCATGAGGAGAGATCCAGCATGGCAGTGTTCAGAGATTAACACCTTGGAAAGGCACAGTGGTTTGAAAAGAAGCCAGTGGCAGCATTATGCCAACTCTTTGGGTACTGTAAGCCCTGAAGCTGCAATGGGTGTCAGGCAGAGAGGACCTGCTGAGTGCTGTGGGTCTCTCTGGGCTGCCTCAACCCAGGTACAGGGGAAGAACACGCAGCATGGGCAGAACCAGCCCAGGGGAAATAAGTCTATGGGGAGGCTATCGGGTGACTGAGAAATCATAAAGAAAATAACTTCTTGCT